GGATATATATACACACACTAATATATACAGAGAGAGAGAGAGAGAGAGAGAGAGAGAGAGAAAGAGAGAGAGAGAGAGAACGAACACAAAAACAAAAAAAGAGCCAGCGAGCGGCGAGGGAGGCATGGAAAGCTTTGTTTCGATACAGCTCCAGGTGCATGCTTGGTTCCACACCTGGGTGGGGCGGCGGGCGGCGAAAGCGTTGCAGCTGCAGGAGCCGTCTTCACTGACGCTTCCTGCGGTCGGCAACGCAGTCTGCTGGACACTCTCGGCGTTTCTGCGCGAATGGGAGGGGGGGAGCGGAAAGTGCAAGCTTTTGAGCCTTTGAGCGATCTCAGGAGCTCCGGCTCAGGTCGAAAAGCGACGGAGACACAGCTCGTCAGGCTCTCAGAGCATCGCCACGGCGGCCTTCTCGGCAATCATGACCTTACTGACACTTCACCCCTCAACATCTCAGCCAACAGTTGGATCATCGGGCCAGGATGCTGTCGGCACCTCAAGGCAGCCCGGGAAGCAACACCTCTCCGACGCTTGACAACTCTATTCCGGGCCCCCCTTGGCCCCCTGCGTGCGTGTTGCCTGAAGTGATCGTGGGCATGATGGAGCAGTCCACTACGCGGAGGCCTTGCAATCCATGCCTGAGGAGCGCTGCATCGGCTAGCTTGAACTCTGAAGACCTGTTCTTCAAACAAGGTCCAGAAGAAAGGGCAATCCCTTGAAGTCGGAGCACACGCGCAGCATGGGATCCACCACTGCCATCTCGTCACTGTCGGGTCCCATCTTGCATGTTCCGGCCTCGGATCCCACGACATCCACAAGAAGAACTCACTCCTCTTCTGATTTCTGTGATCCCTGACCGGGTGGTAGATGGTCTCAGCTATTTCCCGGGCATAGTTCGCATCCAAGGACTCCGGCATCTCCACCTCCGAAGCCGACCACAGAAAAGCCCAGAACTTTGGGAGAAGCGACGAAAAGCCGCGCTCCCATGCGCTGCGCTCTGTTCTCCGGCCTCCTGGGCAGCGACTTCACGCAGCAGCGGATGTCGGGCGACCTGCCAGACAAGACCCTGCTGAGAAAAGGCCCGCAAGTCAAAGGCAGCCCCCTGGCGGTGGCCACTCTGTGGCCTCACGGGCGAGCTCGAGGCTCTTCACCGCCAGCGAGGCATCTCCAGGCGTTGACAAGTAGTGTGGCGAGATCCGGAGCCTCAGAGTAGGCCCTACTGAGCCCGACGTGAGCATGGGGTCCTCTCTCGCCCCCCCCTCCCACCCTCAAAACCCTAACCAAACCCTGCATCTACGCCTCCCCCCCCCCCCGTCCGTTTAGGCCCCCTTCAGAGAGCCCAAGAGCCGGGCCTTCCGTCCGGCAGCAGCTCCACGCGACCCCGGCTCTCCGGCCTGAGGAACGGAACGGGGTCCCTCTCTCTTGACTCGGCCTCTTTAACGAAGCTCCAAAACCCCTTCTCAGGAATATATAGTATACACTACACCTTAAATTCCTTAAATCTTGTTTGGGTTCCGACTATAGTTTAAGGTCTATATTCCTTAATTCAGGGGGTTTTGGAGTCTCTGGGTCTTGAAGCAATTGAACCACCTTTCTCAAGGCTGCTCTCTCTATAGACTCTCAAACGGCGTCCAGCAATCAGGAGCCAGGAGCCCTAGACCCAGTTCCTAAAGTTGAGCTAGGCAGAAAGATGCATCTCAATCTCCACTGATTTTGCCCGCCAACCTGCCTGAGAATGCAGACCGACGCGGTGAAGGCATCGAAGGTGTCCAAGAATACCTTGGCATCAAGTCGGCTTAGACTGTGAGGGTCGCCTCCGACATGCTCCGAATCGGCGATGGGCGACTAGAACATGGCCCGAGCCCGACCAGTCCAGGTTCGATGTTGGATCTGCAGCCGGAGAAAATCAAATTGAGAGAAACAGTGTTGGCTTTGGCGCTTTTCTGCTTCTCAGCCTTGGCAGCGTGCACCAGATATGAGGTCTGTTCTCCGGGAACGGGAGCACAACATGCAACAGCCTCCTCTTCGAATCGCATATGTGCAGCACTTTCAAAGGTAACAGAGGTAGATAGAGGTGGCACATGCTATACCGGCCTGCAGCGGACTGAATGTATCGGCATCGGTATAGAGCTGGACTCTTGGGGTTTGGGTGGGACAGTTGCCCCCCGAAGCTCACAAAACACGCCAGGAGCATCAGATTGGGGCTACCTGTTTTGGAGTGCAGCCCGAGGCGCAGCCGGCGTGCCTCGCAGCACGGGACAAGACTTGGCAAACAGAGAAGGCTATAAACCAAAGCACGCCGCCTGTGGTACTCAGCGGCTGGAAGTGAAACTGCAAGTCCGGGGGACTCGACGAGTTCCTGCAGGGTCGTACATACATCGCTTGCGTACTACCTTATCAAGGCAGCTTAGTGGTAGCTCCGTGGCCTGACGGAGGGAACGAAGGCGCAAACCTGGGAGGCCGCCATCGACACGGGCCCCGTGCGGTCTTTGAGGAACTCGAAGGCGTAACGCCAAGCAGCGCTGCTCAGGGCCGCCCTTGTCCAACCCAGCAAGCCACCTTCCGTCACGAACTTCGCCAATTCTCCCACCTGCGAGTTCAAGGTGGCAGCCTGGACGCGGAACTTGGGCCTCACAGCAGGGCACAGCAGGGCTCTAAGTAGGGCTCTTTGTCTTTGGATCACATCCCGCCTCAGTTGGAGGTGATCTTGCAGGTTCTCGCCGACGCCGGGCAAGGCATGAACACAGGTCACGTTGGCCTTTGCCAAGCTGCTCGGTGCTCCGATGCCGCTCTTCAGGAGCAGCTGCGGTGAGCCCAGCGCCCCGGCACACAGAGCTACTTCTCCGGCATTTATCATGTGCTCCTGGCTTCCACAGCTGGCCTGGATCCCCACCACGCGGCAGCCATCCAGAATCAATTTTTCAGCCTGGTGCCACAGCATTGCACACAATGGCACTCCGTCTCTCTACTCTTGCTCTCTCTGTCCGCTGACCTTCTTTAGACAAGGACTCCAGACAGGCAAGAAAAACTGACACTTATTCCGCGGAATGTGAAGTACTAGTAATCCAAGAATTTTATTCCACGACTCTCTGCCCAGAGCCCCTCGAATTTTAGTGTCTGCCCTCGCCTCCCGGCCTCCCTGCCTCCTCCCTTCCCGCCGCGTTTGCCACCGCCGCTTTTTCGCCGCCGCCCCGCTCTCTGGCCCCATTACCGCATTGCGCTCCCTCTCTCACGATGAAACATAAATCAACACGACATGTCTATCCGGTTGTACGATGACATTCATTCATGTATATATATATATATGTACACACACATACATAGATACCTACGCATGTATGTGGATGCGCATAAAAAGGAACCGAATGTTTGCTCAAACCCAATTCAATGCATAAACCAACGGGAGAAGGCGGGATGGGCCTTCTGTCTGGCTAAGTGAGGCATTAGACGTAAGCCATTCGAAGCTCCAGTCTCCCCCGCCCGGGCTCCTCGGCATTGCAGAGGATGTGGAGGTTGCTTCGCTGGTGCCGCACTTCATGCAAAGGCAGCGCGCTAGAACATCGGAAGCCGCCTGGGGTCCTGATCGCAATGCACATACAAGGCTGTCCCTTCGCGAAATGGCTGCAACAACAACATCATTCGAGAATGATGATGATGATGATGACGGTGATGATCGTGAAGATGATGCTGATGATCATAACCACGATCATACTGACCTTGATGATGATCATTAACAATAGTAGTACGTAAGGGTTATATTAGTATTATAAGAAAAATGGTAATAGTATTAAAGGATTATTATCTTGAGGGCCGGGCTTGAAGTTGGAGAAGTACGCCACCCCCGCGCCCTGGGACGCGGCATCCGCTGCCACGAGGCTCATGTCCCGGACGCGGGGGACGCCGCAAACCTCCGCGCAAGCCTCCGACCACCTGTGCACGTCTACCGCCCCCAAAATGGGGGTCTGTAGGGCTAAATATGGGGAACCCTAAACCCTAAACCCAACTTAAGAGGGTTTAGGGCATTTTAGGGCTTTTTGGGGAGAGGGAGGGAGCGTAGTCACGGTTAAGTTATCTGGCTTCTTGGAAGGGGCTGCTCAAAGCGAGGATTTCTAGGGCTCGCGAATCCTGCAGCTTGGGTACCGCTCTGCAAGGTCCGTGCGGTAGCTGCCTTCGCAGACACTCATAGGTCCACCGGTGCCCCGGTCAGGATGATCGAAGGGGGCATCCTCGCAGCGGCGGAAGTGGGGAAGGAGCTCCTCGTAGCTCCAACCCTGGTTCCCAGCAGCAGCCCAGGCATCGTAGTCGTGCTTCAAGCCCCGGATGTAGAGCAAGCCGTTCAGAGCCGAGGAACCTCCCAAGACCTTCCCGCGAGGCCATGCGAGGCTTCGGCCATTCAGCCCTGAAGTCTCCCCATCTGTCCGGTACCTGACAGGGGGAGACCGGGGTTTGAGGGGGGCTTTCTTTTTGGGTCCCCCAAGCCTCCAGTCGAAGGAGCTCCCGATCGCCTTGAAGTAGAACACGGGCACGTGCAGGAAGGGGGAGTTGTCCTCAAAAGAGGTTCCTCCTCCTCTAGTTCCACGGCCCTACATACATACACGACACACACCTACCTACCTTCTTCCCCCACCTCTTTCCTTTCGAGTTTCGGGGCCTTAGCCCTAAACCAGTCAGAGCCGGGTCGCCGGGCGCCCAGCCTCCAGGAGGAGGACCTGCCGCTTCGGGTCCTCGGAGAGGCGGTAGGCCAGGTGCGCGCCGGCGCTGCCGCCTCCGACGACGACGACCTGAAGACTTGAATGAAGGAAGCCTTATAAACATACATACATACATACATACATACATACATACATATATACATCTTAGGGATGAAATCTTATACCTCTATATCTGTAAGGGAAAGGGAGGCGCCCTCCCTCGCTTCTTCTTAGTTGGGGAATCGCTAGAAAAATCACATGCAACCGACTACCACACTGAAGTCCCTGACACCCTACTGGTATGCCGGTACGCCACTCTACAGCTTGGGACTTCCCTTTAAGAGGCTTAGCCGCTTAGCGGCATCGTAGGAAGCGCGGAGCCTGGGCGTCCGGATCGGCAAGAAGGAACGCAGCGTGGCAGAAATGCGCGAGGGCCGCAAGCGCATGGGAGGCGCATGGAGGCGCTTTCACTCGAATAAAGCATATATATATATATGTATGTATGTATGTATGTATGTATGTATGTATGTGTGTATGTATGTATGTATGTATGTATGTATGTATGTGAAGAGTGATATATAATTAGTTATGTATATATATATATATGTTAAATAGATAGGGTATGGGGTTTAGGGTTTAGGGTAAAGCCTATGTCCAGCAGGGCTCACATGCTGGCGTGCTCGGGTGCTGCTATTGAGCCCGACTGCGAGCTATGCAAGTACAACCATACACGTAGGGAATACATGTCTATACTCCTAGACCCACAATGCACGTAAACAACTCACACCATGCATGTCTGATGAGCCCGAGTCCTTCGATTGGAACATGCAGCGTTTGCAAGAAGAAACAATCTTCGGATCTCACTTTCCGCTCATCTCTCAGAACCCTCGTGGAGCAAGCAGGCCCGTGACCTGACCTCAACCCCAAACAAAAATGGAGAGCAAAAGGAGGAGGCCCGTAACTCCAGATCTCGGCGTTGAAAAGCAGCTTCCCCCTTCAAGTTCGGGGGCTCCCTTTTCGGAGGTCCTGTTGGGCCGGACCCGGGCTCTTGGAAGCAGAGGCCTCCTTGGCCTCCTGGGAACTCGGGCTTTGCAAGCTCGCCAGGGTGCTCTCCCGTAGAGTCCGCGTCCTGCGAAAGGGGAAGCAAGGGGCATGAAGATATTCTAGAATCTAGAAATCTGCAAAAGGTAGCAGGTAGAGCAAACCTCAAGTCGACTCGCTCGGAGTTCCTGGCCTCTCTTCTGACTCGCGCTGCTGTGCCAGTAGCTGTTGCTGCCACCACTCTTCCTTTGCGTTCGTCGGACTGGAGCTTCCCTGCCAGAGGCCAAGGTGGGGGTTTCCGAAAATAGGGGACCTCGGAAACTCCCAGGTAAGCCACACAGCTACGCAGGCAGGCACAGGCAAACACCCACCGCGGCACTGCGCACGTTCCTCGAAAGGCCGAGCTTTTTTACGTGCAGCGTGCTTGTTGGATCCATGGTGAAAGGGCAGGTTGCCTTGGGGTTGCCTCGGGGTTGCGGCCTTGCCATCTTTGGAGTGTTGACCCTTGTACCGGAACTGCGAGTTCAGGTGTTCGGCGACAAGCTTGTCGACATGGGCTTCCTTGAGATCATCTTCAGTCGTTTGAGTGCCCACTGTGGGTAGCTTGCATTTGGCACGACAATTGGTGATCCTGGACGTGTCCTTGCTGCTGCCACCTCACGTGACAAAGCTCCTGCAGCTGTCGCTGCAAATGCACATTTGATCAAATTTGCTCAGTGTGCAGTAAGCTTATTCAGGTGCTGCACTGACGCTTTTTGCTGCAATTCCAAGAGAAAAGCATGCCCCCTTCAACACACTGAAGCAGGGGGAGATGCCGTACACTCCTCGCTATCGTCACAACTGGGACAGGATTGAGCCGGTGGCTGGGGGGTGGGCATGATGTCCAGTACGGGCAAAATAAGTCCGACAGCCAGTTACTGCTTCGAAGCTTTTGCTCACTCTTAGTCGTAGTCTTCCCCTTGACATCTTGCTTTCCCCGCGGCCTGGTCGTCCGCTTTGCCGATGTCCTCAACACAAACTTCGACGAATGACGCCGGAGGTCGGAGGATGGGAGGCTTTGGAAAGTCTTCGGGAGCTCGCCCCAGGATTGCCAAGTCTCCCAAATGTTGGAATTTTGGGATCATGGAGCTTTGAGAAGAGGAGACAGTGCAGCAAGCCACAGGCACGCCTGGCGATCTTGGACTTCATCTGAGAGCAGCCAAGGCTTGCTTTGGTCCTGCGGTTTAGAAGGCGGGGGATCTCGCCCCCCCCAAAAAAAAGGGGCCCCCTAAGCTGCTGTGCTTCTTTTAAAGGGAATCCACGAGGAAGCCCGAGTCCCGGCCTCCGTGTCCTCGGTCTGGGGGGAGAAGTTCAGCGGCGCGTCGCTCTGCGCAGGGATTTTAGCGAATGGCGTGGATTTCGACCCCAGACATGTCTACATCTGACCTATATATACTTTCAACACCGTGAGAATTCCATCAACCGGTTACGGTGCCAGGTTTTGCATCAAGCTCATGGGCAGTCGGAGCATCTGTTCGTAGGCTCTCTCTGACTGTACACTGCCAAGGATTCAAAAGTTATACAAGTTGTACAGCGGGTGCGGAGTGCCCGCAGCTCCCTGGAGTTGGATGCAGAACGCCACGAGGGTCGCTTGCACAAGAAGAATCATCGGCGTAGCGTCTGTTCAAATGACTCTGAAGCACAGGGCCCGGCGGCTAGCTGCGCGAGGCCATGCGTTTGTCTCTGAGCTAATCCAGCTCCTTCAGATTGGGGCCTTCCTGTACCGGAACCCCCGTCACCACCGGAGCAGGCGAAGCCGGCACGCCGTTCCCCGGCACTGGCACACCCGGCACGCTGTTGTGATTGTGAGAGGCTGCGGCAGCTGCGGCGGCGTTGGCCGCGAGTCCTGACTGCACATAGCGGCCAAAGATTGGCCAAAGCGCAAGGCATCAGCGAAAGCGCACGCTGGACATGCCTTTTTGAGAGCGGGGCCTTGCAGCAGTGCCTGCCGTGGATCTGGCTGTGGGTACTGCTGTGGGTAGCTGCCGCCACTGCCGTGCGCCTGCGTGCCGTGCTGCCTTTGGATGGTTAAACTCCTGATGCTGCACTCTACGAGTCTAACGACTACAGGACTCGTGGCACTTTGGCACCTGTCTCATCTAGTCATACAGCTCGCCAGGCACTTTTGATCGGATCCGGTATATCCGACCTTGAAGGCTTCATCCAGGAGGTCGGAGACCGTCGTGGATGGGGCCGCGGGCACTTCTCGCAAGATCCTGGCCACCTGACCAAGATGCCGGAATAGAGAGGCAACCGTGCAAAGCAAGCTTGGCAATGACGTTTGGAACCCATCGAATACTATAGAAAAGAGGAGAGAAGAGTTGAATTCAGAGTAGTCTTCTTCAGCTGGCCTCTTCTTGGCTCAGCAACTGGGCAGGCGGTGCCCTGCAAGCAAATGGATATCTGGGCAGTACAGTATGTACGTATGCATGTATGTATGTATGTATGTATGTATGTATATATATATATATATAGAGACTCAGTGACTCAGCGACTTGTCGAAAGAAACACACGCCTGGGGTTCACGACCACGTTGACTCTGCCCATCATTGCAGTGCCCACGACGCGAAGCGTGACGGGCGCTCGGCCCGCCATACCGGAACTCTGGCTACTGGACCAAATGCCTGTGTCGCAGGCAACTCTTCGCCCAACTTTTGACGACATGTCGTGCACAGGAGCTCAAGAAGACCTCAACAACACACTGTCGGCCTCCGGCGTCCCCGAAGCCTCCAAGAAACATGGGCAAAGGCGGAGTCCGCTTTTTTAAGGAGCGACAAAGACTCCGCCTCCGAAGATGGCGGAGCCGTCCTGCTCCACTGCCACGCCGGGAGGGACGATGAGGGTGACGCTGCCCATGAAGGCAGTGCTGGAGATCGTGATCACCTCTGGCACACACATGTCTATACACTTGAATCGATATATACTATGTCTCTATATCATCTATACCGTTACATACCTAAAAGCGCCGCTGCCGAGCGGCCGGGTGCTGGAACAAGGCCTGGGAGAAGTCGACGGTGGAGCCGCCCAGGTAGGCGCTGGCGGTGACTTCGCTCTCGGGCACCCAGCGGCCGTACTTGTCTGCTCCAGACAGGAAGCCAACGAAGCTCGCCATGGCAACACAGCTCTCTGCAAAATTTTCGGCGTTTTCACCCCCAAAAACGGAAGCTGTAGATATAGCGACCGAGTTTCTGACACTTTCAGAGGTAGAGGTAGCGTCTTTTCTGCACAGCTTCGTGCATCCTTCTGCAAGAGCAGCTTCTGGGAAAATGCAGCGTTGCCCGCGACACTTTCTTCGAGCCGAGCCAAGAAGACGAGCTTTTAAATGGAACATGGGATAATGCATAAGATCCCACAAGAGGCATCCCCCCGCGGGAGAAGCGGGTGGGGGGCGGGGGTTTGCGGGCCAGCTCCGCTTGGGCGTCGTCCCCGTCCTTCTCGAAGCTCTGAGCCCGGACCGGCCGGAGCGGGGAATCGGCTGGTGGAGGCTCCCGGAGCTCGGAAGCCAATGGAGTGGCCTTGGGAGGCTCGGACCTGCCGCCAAAAACAAGAATCATGGTCAGAGACACGCGGCCTCGGCCTCTTTGCATTGCATCCGGGCAAGAGCTCCCCCCTCCGACTTTTTCTTGGCTTCACACCCCTCTTCCTCCGGTCTCCTGTGCATCTGGCTGGAGGGCTCCACTTGTGGAAGCAGCGATTTCTCTGGCACGGGCGGTCTTCTGCACGCGAAGCTGGGGCCCATGGTGGGGGCCATTCCCAGGTGCAAAGAGGACCCACGCCCGGGGCTGAATCCGCGGGGCAAGGCCCTCAGCCCAGAAGCTGAAGAACCTGCTGCCAGGCGCGGGCCCGGGCCCAGTGAGGCCCGGGAGGCTCGAACAGCCGCGCCTTGGCATCCAGTGAGGCATCTTGGCAGGCTCGAAGGAGCTCTTCTTCCCGGAACCTCCGAGCTGCCGGAAGTCTTTGAGAGGGCTATGCAGATGCACAGATCTTCCGAGGCTCTGGCGTTTGCTTCCAGTGTTTGAGCACCTTTCTCGCGGCTGGAGGCGTTGAGATGCTTCTTCGGAAGGCCCGTTGCCGTTGCCCCAAGCAAACCCGCACCTGAGTGGCCTCCTGCTTCAAGGCCCGATGGGCTCCCTGCCAAGCTTGGCAAAACAGCACCCTTAGACACCTATTACAGGTCATCATGGCCAAAACCAGTGCGGTGTCTGAGTCTATAACAGGTACACCCATGCATGCATGTGTGCGTACGTGCAGATGGATGGATGGATCAACAGAGAAGCCCATGTCTCAGACAGGACAATCCCAGAGTCTCCGTGTAAAGTGAGAGTTGAGTCGAATAGAAGCTGCTGCAAATTGGTCCTTCAAAGAAGAAGTCTCAATCCGCCCGTTCCGGGGACTCTCTCATTGCTCCCTTTGCTCCCCTTTTAAGGCCTGGCCGGCGCAGGTGGCCAGGGTCTTCAGGAGCTCCGGCAGGTGGGGCATCAGCCCAGGCCCGAAGGCCTCGTCCGAGTCGACTTGTTCAGTTTTTTTTTGTAATCGCCCCTTGGGAGTTAGAAAGGCCAGGCTGGCTGAGGCATGGTGAGGGGAGCTAGCTGGGTTTAGGGTTCAGGGTTTAAGGGTTCATCTCTCAGATTCTCTAATTAGAGGGTCCCTGTCTATAGAGGGTCCTTTTTGCAAGGGTGCCGTACGATATTTGGGACCTAGACAAGGGACCCTACTTTCGAGAACCAGTGCCCAACTGAGCTTCTTTTGCTCGATGCTCCTCTGGGTCCCTAGGTTGTGGGGGCGGCTCCTTTAGGTTGTGGGGGCCTTGGTGATCTCCGGCAGCCGCTCGCAAACCCGCTGCTTCAGCAGATGATGATGGCCTGGAGCTGGGGAGCAAGGAAGACGAGGACGGCTCCCGATGAGAAAGTCTCGAATCGATCGAGCGTCCGGCGGTACTGGGAGCAGGCAAAGGCCTACGGGAACATCGCAGACAATCTCACAGAAGGCAGACTGGCAACAACAATTGCAAAAACCTTCCGGCGTGCCTTGGAAAGACTCGGGAGAAAAGCTGACAATTGCTCCAGCTTCTTCTCAGAGCCCGTGGAGCTTGCAAAGCTAGCCTTAAGGTGACTCAAAACTTTCTCCAAAGACCACCCCCTCTGGAATGACTCGGCCCTAGACGAGGTCGGTGAGGAGGTGCACCATGCCCTCGGATGCCTGCACGGACTCTTACTGCGTCAGACTCCCAGCTGCAACATGCTCTGTCCCCCTATAAACCCAATTAATAGATCTATATGGAGAGTAAATGTGAATCGTAGCCCCGGACTTCCTACATCTCAGAGTCGTCAGAGCCTCCCAGAGTTGCGTAGGTGCCGTTGCCGCGCAGTTCATGCAACCGGTGTCCTTCGCCCTCGCTTCGCGCCTTGCGCCGCATTCACGAGCTTTTCTCCAGACTTCCTATAGTAGCAGGGCCCTTTTTTTCCCTCGAGGGGTCTCTCCGCTTCGTGCACCTCTTGGCTGTTCCCCTCTCGTACTGCAAGTTTGTGCAGCTACGGAGCATGGAAAAACAGCGACCAAGCAGGCACTCGAGATCCCCAATATGGGCTACCCATCCGAGATCGCGTCGCATTCTGCGCATTCTGCTACACATTTCTCTACCGGCGCTTAAGCGCCTGACAAGCACCTCTCAGAGATCCGTCTTCTCCTCCTGGCCCGCACAGGTCCATCGGCAAGTGCCGGCGCCGACCCAGGTGCGACCGCCGGCGGTGATGCACAAACCTTCCTGATCAGTGAGAGAAGTACTCAAAACTGCGCACGTCCCAAAAAGAAGAGGTGCACTGATATCCCTGCATTCTAATGTCACTATCGACAGAATTGAACAAGATGCAAAGAACGCTTTCCCTTGGAACGTCAAAAAGCAAAAGGTGGCTGCGAAGTGGAAGCGTAATGAGGCGTAATGTGTGGAAGGAAAGGGAACATTCGATGTAAAGCGGAGCAGAGAGAGAGAGAGAGGGGGAGAGAGTGGGAGAGCAAGAGTGAGTGAGAGAGAGAGAGAGAGAGAGAGAGAGAGAGAGCGAGCGAGCTGCGAGATTCGGGGGTTGGAGGGCAGAGTTGCATCGGACTTGCCGGCACGGCTGCAAACGAGCTACTGGTAACACCTTGAAAATCTTAAAGCAACCCCTGAGCTCCCACCGCCAAGGCTCGGTGGTCTGTTCCGTGCAAAAGACACGCTGCCTGCGGTGCTTGCTGGCGCCGTCTTTACAGTCGTTTCCCTCCCGGCGTGCGCAGTCGCAGCAACCACCGGCAACGGAGGGCCTGCATGAGGAAAGCGGGAGTCATAAAGTGAGAGCACTCCAAGAAGCTTGAAAGCAAAACACGTTTCGCATCTGGGCATCACGCCAGATCAGCGGCAGGATGGCAAGAGTCAGTTGCAAGAGGGCTGGGAACCGCATGGCGTATCCCCCCTACAGGTCACCAAAAGGGCCTGATACTCCTTTGGGGCTCGAAGCTCAAACAGCTCTGGACATGAGAGCAAAGACTACGTAGAGCTCACTGCCTCCAGCACACATTCAACAATGACGCAATCTCTCTCGGCCTCCGTTCTTTGAAGGTCTTCGGGGCCGAGGACCCGCAGCTGTACATCACTTGATCGATGAACTCCTCGGATAAGGCGTTCAAACATCCTGTCGGTGCTTTGGGCCCCTTGACGAAACCCCCACTGCTCCCTCCCGGGAAGGCTTCAGATCTCCGAGAGAGGCTTCTGAGGCCGTGGCCGGGTCGGCCTTCCCTCGTTCCTCCAAACTCAGCGTCTTCGACTTGGGAACCGAGAATGGACCGCTAGGCGTGTAGTCCTGCGACGCATCCGCAAGAAGGTGGCTCCATCATGCAATGACATAGCTCGAATACTAATAGCTACTATAACTATGATATACGAATATATAGATATTGACACCACCCACACACACACATACAATGCCTTCTATAACAGATAGCAGAAAACTCTCAGGGTTTCTAGCGATTGGGACTTACCTATACGAGCACAATAGGTGCAGAAAGGATTTGGTCGCAGCTGTCGGTTCCGCAACTCGTGCCGTGGCGCAGTGGACTTTAGGACCTTTTCCAAAAAGTAATTAAAAGCCCTAGAGGCGTTTGCTTTCCAGGCCCAGTGGTCCGGGGACGACGAAGTCATTGTAGAATTCAATACTGTGGCCGTTCCCAACTTGATGAATCGCGGGGGTCCTAACTGAATGCCCTGGAAGGAGTGTGAAGGGATGTGAAGCGCTTCCTCCCCCCAATCCCGTCCGTAAAGGTCTCAGAGTGCTCTGGCTGCATCAGCACCTTAAGGGACTCGGCGAAGAAACAGGAAGTGTCCAGAATGAAGTGGACTCTGCGCGCCTCCGGCAAGGTCTTCTCCAAGCGCGGGAGGATCTTTGGCCAAAGGTCTTCTGGCCAAACCTCGATCGCAACAAACCGCACTTTGCCCCCCCCCCTCCCACTATATCAGCTTAAAACATGTCAAACCAAAGGCTGAGGTCTCCAGCTCTCACTGCCGTGGCCAAAGCATTGGCACTGTTTCGCCGCATCCTTGGCGACGTTTTCGGCTCCGGGCGCTTCTGGGTGTTGCGGATGCCCTCTTCGTTCTTGGGGCGGAGCGATGGTATGTTGTCGGCCATCTGGCTGAACCAAAGCTCGAGCCTGGCAACGTCGCAAGCAAGCGGCCTCTTTGTCTGCTCTGTGCCGTGATCCCTGGGCCTTTAGATAGGCATCTCATCATCTCATCATGCAGCATCTGACGCCACTGAAACAGCAACTCTCTGCAGCTACACTCTTTGGCTACATGCGAACCACGGAGAGCCGCGCGCTTTTATCAGAACGTGGGCGGCGCGCACCAACACTTTTTGAGTTCTAGTGGCAGTGACACACAGAGTTACAGCAAACAGATCGGGTGAGAAGGAAAGAGGCCTTGTCACTTGCGGCCCTGTGAATTGGAGCTTTGAAACTTCCTCCACCCGCCATTCCAGAAATACCACTCGCTCTTCCAGTAGGACCAGTGCGTGTTGGGGTTCGGGCTGCAGGTCTTGCTCTGTCCTGCATTGCTGGGGATGGGCCGGCCGAGTTCTCGGGCCAGCTCTTCCAGGCATGGCTGACTCCGAATGTCCATGGAACCGAAGCTCGGTTCGTTCAAACAGGACATCAGGCGTTCCCGACTAAAAGTGACGCCGGCGTCACATTTAGTCGGGAACTACTGATGTCCTGTTTGAACTCACCGAGCGGTTCCATGGACATTCGGATGCAGCCATGCCTCGAAGAGCTGGTCTAGAATTTCTTGACCTCTGCAACGACGGCGCTTTCTTCTTGGGTGTCTGGGGCCACTCCTGGAGGAGGTGCAGGTGGAGTCGCCCGGTTTCGCGCGGCAACCCTTCTCGTCAGGTCCGTCAGCTGCTGCTGGAGCGCCGACAACTTCTTGTCGTGGACTTCCGTCGCGTGATGCATTTCGAGGAGTCGAGCATGTTGCTCCTTCTGCTTCTTCACCATTGAGGCAAAGGCCTCTTTGAGGCCGTCGAATCCCTTCTAGATCATGTCCACGGAGGTGTTACCCCCGTCCATAGCTCCAATCTCAACCATCCTTGAGCTGAAGTTCTGCCCCGCTTGACCTTGTGTCGCGCTTGGGCAGAAAGACACACTCATGCCCGGAAGGAATCTCCCTGGCGGCAGACCGCTCTTCTGATTCTCAGCCTCCAAATACACTCAACTACATTGCGATTCTTCACGCTGGCAGTCAAAAAGCCGCAACCGCAGTATGACATCTTTCTCATCCCACGTCCTACTTAGTGTACAACTGCTGCTCAGTCGCCCCTGCAATCTCCATCTGGTACATGAACAATGGATTCGACGTGAACTCGATCAAGAATCTGTATGTGTATATATATAT